TTCACACAGATAAAGCTATAGAGACAGAGAGATGGACAGGAGTCAAGTGCATCTGGGCTTCTGGGGAGCAACCCCAGCTGCTCGTGCCTTCCACTGTCATTCCTTGACTACATCGCAAGATGGAAAGAGCAAAAGATATAAGGTCAGTGGCAAGACTATCGTCCTCAGCAAAAACAGCCTCTTGCTGTGGCACAGAGCTCTACCTCAATTTCCAGACAGCTGCTAGAGAATCATTTTTATATCATCACATCTCCTACAGCAATCTGCAAAGAGCAGCTTAGGGAGGCATTTGGCTTTTATGTGAATTTAGGCTGCAGTTTGTGAAAGTGCTTCGTTCCTAAAATACAGATGAGGTTTACTGCAGAGCCTAGTACATTAGAGGGAAATCTGGCCTGGAGGTCCCCAAAATGTCACCTGCCAAGCAGTTTGGACAACCTAAGCCTCCCCAGATAGTTCAGTCCCCTTAGGTGCCCTGTGCAAGACACCAGCCTATGTAGTCTTCAGTTCAGAAGAGAGTGTTGGGGGAAAATGAAATTCAATTGGAAAGGGTTTTGGTATTAACTTCAGTCTTAGTCACTTTTGGAGCTGATGACTTAAATCTAGAAATAAAGAGTAATGGAAGTTGGAGCTCCAAAGAACAAATGAGCCCCTTCGTATATGCTGCCATCTCCTCTCTCCAGGACCAGCCACTCTCCCCTTGCTGCTGCCAGTGGCTCCGCTCCAGTGCCTCCTCACCAGGGGAATACAAATTGGGCATCACTGAAGCATATGGAGGGGAAGAATGCTCAGCTGTGAATTTCGGGGATGGGTATTATACAAACCCAGCCACCAGCACATCACCTTTTCAAAGGCTTCAAATCCGCTACAAATTGCTTCTGAATGACAATGGGAATTTCTCGCCCTTCACAGAGCCCCTTATATTAGCATCTTTATTGGAATAAACTAGCTAATTTCTCTGGTTGAAGGGCTGGTCTGGAGAATCCCTAATTCCAATTAGATGGATATTCATCAGCACCCTGATGCTTGCAGGGCAGCAGGGAATGCTGCTGTCTGGTCTGGCGAGTGGCTCACCACCTGCCCAAGTCCGGATCAGAGACAAAGAGAAGGGGAGCACTGAGTCCCTGGGGCCAGCAGCAAAGCAGGACATTGCAGGGGCTGAGGGGTCCTTTTAATCCTCAATTTGTTCTTTGTGACATTTGGTAATTCCCAGGCACAGGGTAGGGAGGCTGAACCTGCACTTGCAGGAATAATGATAAATCTGTGCCCTTCACTATCCTTCAGGTTCCTGTATGACAAATATACCCATGACTAAGCCAGGCTGACTGCGGCTGGAGTGAAACACTTATGGAGTAGAAGGAGGTACAGCCTGTCTGTCTATCCATCCTGAACAACCGTATGGCAGCTTGTCACTAAGTTCAGCATTTATCTTGTAACACAGTTAATGGGATTTCTCCAAACCAAGTGCTGATGCCTTGCAGTTGGCAGTGTTGCAAAGATGAAATTACTTTTTTGTTGCTAACAATAGATTCCATAAAGAAAAAGGGAAAAAAAAAGTAAAACTCCATAAATATATATCCCAAATTTAAAACTTGATGATCTTGCAGGTAAGCAGAGCTCATTTCTCACTATGGATTTCTCACTAGATGTATGCTCCCTGGAGCAGGGTTTATTTGGGTGTTCACTGTGCAGCACTGGCCTGGCTCATAGCTGGGATACAAATAACCCCAAGCTATAGCCCTGGTACCGACCATGCTGTAGTAACTGCAGTGTTACCAAAGGGAGCAAGGACGATGGACATTGTGCCTTCTTGCCTGTAGCAGGTATCATACTTCTCTGATCTCTTTGGCCAGAAGTGGCTCACATCAGTGGGATTCTGACTGTCAGTGGGACAACACTTGCCCTTTGGTTTTATTTTAAACTCTTGTATCTCACCCATGGGGCATGGCTGTCCAGGGGTATTGAAGTCTCAAAGGTGTCATTTGAGGCGGGGACAGGTCCTTTGGATTTTGTTCTCCTACAAGGTCAGGCTCAGTGGAGGAATTCTGAAAATGTCTCATCTCTGTGCTGCACAAACACAGTCCGAAGGCAGAGTGGGGCTGGTTTTGACACTGTCTAATCCTCAGAACAGCTCCAGCCCCCCAGATGTGCGACATCAGAGGCAAAGCTGGAGACTTGAGAGTCGTTATAATGCTATTCCTCTCCCAGTGTGCTGTGCAAAGCAGCAAGCCCATGTCAGGTTGCTGTCTTCATGCTTCCCCCATCCACAAATATTGGCTCAGCCTCTTGTCTGGTGTTACCTGCAAGCAGCTCACTGCCCTCTGTGTGGAACACCATCCGCCCAGCACAGTTTACCTCCTCTGGGGGTTAATGGAAACAGGAGATGGGCTGCTGAAACACCAGTAAAAAGGGCTCAGGTGCTGGGGGGAGAGGGTCAAAGGACAAAAATGAGGACAAGTCTGCACACAGCCCCAGCCCCAGGATGGAAATTGCTGTTTGACGCTCCCTTCCTCTCATTGAAGGTGTCAACTCCACTGTCTTTATTTGCATTTCTTTGTATTAGAGGGTTTCTTCTTCCCTAGATGAATGGCTCGTGAAGGTCCCATGGATGCAAGTTGTCTTGGTCTGGGTTTTTTTCTGAGGAGGCACAAGGGCTCCTGCTGAGGAGGGAATTTGGCCCAACATGTGCAGAGCAATGTGTTTGCTGCCTATCACCCAAAGAGCAGGGCCCTGTCCCTGCCTCGTGTGACACATTGCACAGGCAGATAGAGGAGTCCAAACCATGGTGCTGTGTGGTCTGTCATCACAAATGAGCCTTGCTATGGACTTATTTATGCTGGACAAATTATATTCGAGCCACTGATAGGCAACCACTGCTGGGGTGGGATGCAGGAGCCTCAATAACACTATAGGCTTTCATATCTCTTGCAAGTGCTCCTATCCCAAGTATCAACCATCTTTCAGCAGCGTTCTGGTGATGGGATTAACGTGCATTAGGACTTTTTGTTTTCATCTCTCCCAGGGAGGATCAAATGCAGTGAAATATCTCATTTTGCTGGTTGCTGTCTGAAAAATGTGTGGTATGTGTTAATGTTAGAAAGGCAAGGTCAAAGGAGCAGGACCATAGGACACAGGGGTGGAAAACCCCTTTCAGGACATGGAGTATGGTCCATGTTATTGTAGCCCTGTTTGCACTGTTTTAAAAGGAGTGCAGTTGTTTACCCTCAGCACATGTGTTCCTGGGTCACAACTGTTTTCTGTGAAGAGATATGGAAGAAAAGCTGTGGCCTTATGTCACTTGTCCTTCAACAAAAGACCAAACCCTGTGCCAACTCAGCACGAGCTCTCTCCTGCACCCACAGGCATTATGTATTATTATATAATAATATGTATTATTGTAATTTATCTTATATTAGGTTGGATATGAGGAAGAAATTCTTTACTGTGTGGGTGGTGAGGTGCTGGAACAGGCTGCCCAAAGAAGTGTGAATGCTGCATCCCTGGCAGTGTTCAAGTGGACAGGGCTTGGAGCAACCTGGTCTAGCAGAAGGTATCCCTGCCCATGGTTGGAACTGGCTGAGCTTTAAGGTCCCTTCCAACCCAAACCATCCCATGATTCTGTGTTTATCCTTCCTGGGGAGGTTTTCACTCTACCCAAGGAACAACATGTTGCTGATATTTATCCCAGAGTTTTGTATTGGCCATTTAGGCTGGAGGAATGTGAACCTGAGTTTGAGCAGTGTTTCAGCAGAAATCAGCACTGAATAGAGTCTAATTTGTTTTGAATAACTTGCTTCTGGAGTTCGTAGGAGACAGCTATGGGATGGTTTAGGAAGGATGTTGATGGTATCATATCCAGCTGAAAGAAGCATTGCTGTGGGTAAGTTTAAACACTAAAAAGCCATTTAGCCAGCATGAATATATAAAATATGTTGCTCCTGGCATCAGATACAGCTGTTAACTAAGCACTTTGATGGACAGAGGGTCCCATGTTACATCTCTACCTACTACCTCCTGCGCACTTGGATCCCCACTGATTTGTGGCAGCAAACTGGGCTTTAGGGGATGAAATGAAGGAGCTAGTGTTATTGTGGGGGTAGAACGTAGCCCTCCCAGCAAAACCCCTGAAGGCAGAAGCGGCAATGAAGGGAAACTACTCACACCAGCATTTGTCAGGGTGCCGTGATTAGCAGCCATGGCTTTGCTCGTGGGAGATTTCCATTTACAAAGTGAATAAGGGAGCAGGGAACCAAAAGCTGGATTTTTCAGCAGTTAATTGTCAAGGTCACGTTGCATTTATATGGGATTTTCCTGCTGTTGTGTTTTGATTTCATTACAATTGTGTTTGTTAGGATATAGCTGGTATGGGCATGGATGAGCATGGAGAGAATTCCCCTTGCAGAATGGGTTCATGCATTGCTTGTTCATAGCAGCATATTTCTACAAGCAATTTTCTTCCCTTTAAAAGGACTTGGGGGAAAAAGGACCATCATTTCCAGGCAGAAATTTTTCTGAGGAAGATATTTTTGTGCCTGGCTAAGGAGAGACACAAAAAGGTCAAAGAAAATTAAAATCACATGCTGAGAACATTGCAGGGCAGGTGTTTTTCCTACGCCAAAATTCAGCCTTTGGTGGGTATATCCCAGGATTTATGCTACTCCTAACGCTTCACCTGTTACACCAGTACTGGAGGGTGAATGATTTCATCACCCTAGCAGCCTGGTTTTGCTGGACCCAACTCAATAAAACTGCTTTAAACACATTTTTGCAGCTAGAAGGAAGCCTCAGACAAGCGCTCCGCTCTGGCTGCTCATCGCTGCGTTTCACTTGGAATGTAGGATGAGGAATGCACAGAATTTCCTTTTCCACCCGGTCAGATCCTCTGTCTTGAGCCTGGCCCAGCCCCAAGAGCACAACGGATGCAGCTGGAGAAGGGCAGGTCCAATCTTGCTGCTAAGCTCCAGTGACACTTAACCTCCTCTGCTGTGTGCTCAGCCAGCAGCTGGAGGTGGATGCTCATCAGTGGCTGAGCATCAGCTGCTGCCTGTTGAAATGGGTCGTTTGTGAAGGAAAAGGAGGTTATTTCCCAGGCTGGAGGAGGTGATGGAGTTTAGGGCTCTTGTGAGAGAATAAGGAGGTGGCCTTGAAGCTGAATGCTTTTGCATCTTGATTTCTCCATTGGTGTTGGTCTACTTGAGCAGGTAATGGGGCTGTGGGTTTTCCCCCTGCCTGATGAAGGTTGCTGCCAGCAGCCTTGTCCTGGTGTGAAAACTGATTGTGACTACCTGTAATTCCTTAGTGTTAGCAGTAGGTGGGAATCAATAGGGAGCTTTGAGCTATCAAATAATGAGACCAGTTCATAGCTTGTGTTGCTCCAAGAAAGGCACTAAGGAGGAACATTAGCCCTTTGGGGCTCTGTGAGACAAGGAGGCTTTCCCACAGGTCTGTTAGCTTGGCCCTGGTTGCAATGGGAGCTGTAAACATAGGACCAAATTCTGCCTTATCTCATCCATAAAAATTATTTTTCTTGGCTCGGAATGGAACACTGACTGGCTTCTTTCCTAAAGCAGCTGTACAGCAAAGATGGGATTGAATGAACCCCTTTCCCTTGAGCTTAGGAACAGCTCAAGATGGGTAGAAAACTGCTATTGCATCACTGCTACAGAAATAACTATAATTCACACCATGTACAAAGATGCCACAGTCTGATTACTAACAGTGGCTGAACTGGTCAGAGCTATCTTTATTACATCAGGAAAGCAAGTTTTATCCCAAGGATGTGCTAAGAAGTGAAGAAGAGGGTTTGGTTTTGTTTTCTTTTTTTCTGGGTGGAATCATCCCAGCAAACAGTGTGTAAATTGCTGGAAGGAATTCAGGCTTCAAATGACATTAGAAAATACTGCTTTTCCTCACCAGACTATAGATTTCCTTTATTGGAAGAACAGTGCCTTGAAAACAGCCTGTAATGAAATTGGGTGTTGGTCTTTATTTATGTATTTGATGTTGCTGGAATGGCTGAAGACTATTCAGGTTGAGGGTACTTTTTTCTCTTCTGTGTTTTTTCCTTATCTCAGAACTTTCAGGGTTGTCAAATGTTCTGTCCTGGTTTCCCTAGGAGGTCCTGGCTGGGTAAAGGCAGGTTTGCCTAATAATGTTTATTAACTTACAATATTAACAAAGACCTCCTTTAAACAAAGTGCTGGCTAGGCACTGGAATGAAATAACTGTTAACAAAGCCTATGAGCTTAAACTAGAAAGGACCTTTCTGCAATCATTCAGCTTTGTGTTCTTAATGGTGTCATTATTTTGCTATTCGGTACCCATATAGAGCTCAATCCTCACTTGAATTTCTCACATCAAAAATCAAAGAGAAGTAATTTCTGCAAAGCAGTTTTTCAGGGTTCTCTCTGTAACAAAAAAGAATCTTATGTTAATTCTCCTGCATATCGCTGTCTTTGGCCTCTTGGCCAATTATGGTGGGTTGGATTTAGTTTAACCCAAAGCAACCATCAGGTCACGGTGACTCTGGAAACAATTTTTCTTGTTTTGTTAACTGACCTATTTTGTTCTTGTCTCTCCTCCTCAGTCGCTACAAAGCAAAGGGTTTCAGTTGTCTTTTCTCCAGAGAGGTCTGCAGCAGCATGCAGAGCAAGTGCTGTGCTAATGAAATCCTGTCTTGGCTTAAGCTAAGCAGGGATTTTGGTTAAACTCTGTTTGTCCACTGACACCCCCCCAGCACAGATGTGCCCTGAGGATGGCTCAGGCTATGGGACAGACCTGGAGAGACTGAGTCTGAGGGCTGAACCCAAGATCCCAGTGCTGGTGTTAACCCCATCTCCTGATGATAAGGATAGAGTGGAGAAGAAAAATGTAGCTCTGGTTTCTGTATCACCAGGAATCATAGAACGGTTAAGGTTGGAAAGGACCTTAAGACCACCCAGTTCCAACCCCATGCCATAGGCAGGGATGCCTCATACTAGACCATGTCACCCAAGACTCCATCCAACCTGGCCCTGAACACTGCCAGGGGTGGAGCATTTACCACTTCTTTGGGCAACCTGTTCCAGGGCCTCACCACCCTCACAGTAAAAAACCCTTATACCTAACCTGAACTTACCCTATTTAAGTTTGAACCCATTACCCCTTGTCCTATTGCTACAGGCCCTGATGAAGAGCCCCTCTCCAGCATCCTTGTAGGTCCCCTTCAGGTAATGTGAACAGCCACCACAGCGATATCTTGTCACCCTTCTCTCTGTGCTGGGGATGATGAGCAGGGGATGGGGAGGGAGAAGGGTGCTGCCTGTAGGGCTGCCATCCCACAGCTTAGCAGAGCATCCCGAGCAGCTCATGCAGGCTGTGTGTGCTGTACTGCCTCATCTGCAGCAGGCAGGTAACAGCACAGCCCCACCTCACCAGTGAACAGTGTGGAAAAGTCCCTCCTGGACTCTTGAGCATATTACAGTGCTGCAGGATGTACCGAAATGGACAGTATTTGAAGTGTTTCCTTATAGGATAATCGGAGGAAGTCATTGTATTAAATATCCATTTGTGTCATTAGCCTTTTATTTGGTGCTTTGTCCAGACATCCTGTTTGCTTCCCCTTTGAAGTAATGAATATATTTCCTGTGTGCCAGGTCCGATCCAAAGCTCCCGTGTAAAAGCCAAGCTGAGATCAGTTGTGTACTTGGTGGGAAAGGACATCTCCAGACTTGCTTTGTGTGAGGAGTTTGGGATAAACCTAGAGTAGTGTTTATTGGTTGCCCTTAAACCCACACTCCTTGGGGTACCCTGGCACAAGGGTATGGCTATGTGCTCCCTATGGTACATGGGAGAAGTTTCTAGGGATTCCACCTCGCACTATTTAGGTGGGACATTACAGCAACGTCAGCCGCATCCAAGGTACACATGGAATACCATGAGGAATGCTGTGCCAGCATGTGGGATCCAGCCCCAGAAAACAGCTGGAGGAGCCACATGACCCCTTTGAATCTCTCTTCACCCTTGACTGAGGTGGGAAGGTAAGAGGGAGGGTAACCAGCTCTGTGTATCAAACAAATGCCAGCCTCTTTTGGTGTGTGGTTGGGAAGGGTTAATCAGGGCAGCACAGCCCCTAAGGACCAGGACTGTTGTTCTATGCAGATTGGCTTGTTCTTATTTCTTCTATTGATCGCAATCACTCAGAGCTGTGCCTCTAACAAACTGCCTTAAATCATTGCAATCATAATAAGCACACCTTGGTAAATAATGCATGAGATGTCCGTAAGCCTATATTCATTAGAAGGAAGGTGCATATAGAGCGTGGTAACCATCTGGGCTTGAGTGGGGGCACGGCAGGTTGGATTGAGATGCGGTAGCTGCTAGGGTTCAGCCCTGAACTGAGTTGGGTTTCAGGAAGGCTCCCCAGTCCTTTAAGATGCTGGAAATAGAGACAGGCTCCTTTTCACGTTCATGAATTTTGCAGGAGATGTTTAAAATGCCTCCAAGGTTCACAGCATAATACAGGTTGGGTGGAAGTGGGCTTGTGGCAAGTCTCCAAATAGCATAATAGCAAGGCATCACAATTACTAGTATTTAATATATCTTAATGACAACAAAACACATCGTGGGTAACAAGTTTTGCTGTGAAAGCCTCGTAGCCAAGTTAATGGTCTGGATATTAGAAGCCTTTGTTTTAAAATGCAAATTAAAAATGCTTAGTTTTCCATTTGTCAGAGTGGTGTTAAAGTGTGGAGCTGCTCTAAGGCAACTTTGCTCCGGCTAGGATTTGGTGTAGTTCTTGGCCAGACCACACAGCAGGGCAGGCTCAGGTGCTGTAGAATTCATTAGAAGGTTTCTAGGGCAAATTGCAGGGAAAATTATCTAGGCAGTAATTTCCACCTCCCTTTCATCCTAGGGAGAAGATGATGATGTTGTTAAATGCCAGTGATAAGGACAGTTTGGCTTTTGTATGGTTAGAAGAGATGGAGGAGGCAGAAACATTCCTGGTTATATCAGGCAGCTGTGGATGGTGATGGGTCATTTCACTCCATTATGGTTTCTGGCAAGCGAATATTAAAAGGGGTGTGAGGGCATAGTTTCTCAGCAATGACTTCATTTGGCTGTCTAAGCAAACAGCCCCTCCTCACCAGGTGCAAAAGGCCTTGTATTTGTGTTTTTTTCTTTCATGAAGTGCAAAGAAATACCTAAAGTGAAAATAGCACCAGTGGATTGTATCTGCTCAACAGCCCTGGTGGTCTCTACCTCCTGTTAAACAGCAGTGATATGAGCCAAGGCAGGGAAAAGTGATGAGCCTAGCTATTTTATACTTAAACTATATTTTTTTCCTCCACTTTTAGCTGCATCATCTGTCGCAGAGCGACAAAGAGAAAGGGTCAGTAAATTTTAAGCTGGTCTACTCAGACTGGAGAAGAAAGATCAGCAAAACCAAGAGAAAGTAAATGGGACGATGTTACCCAGCCTGCCTTCACCATCACACTGTGCTGCCTTGGATGCTTCCTGCCTTGGCAATGCCCTCAAGAGACGTGGCAATTTGTAGCCATGAAACTACCAGTTTGGCTAAGGTCCCCTAGGAGCAGAGCCCCAGTATGGGCGTCCTACACATGAGCATGGGCTGTGTGTAGCGTGCAATACCTCTCTGCTTTCCTGGCTGCTGAGGGAGGCAGCTTCACCCTGCAGATGGGGGTTAGAGCCCATCAGACTCGCTTTCTTCAGTAACCTGAGCCAGGATTTGAGCCGAGGCCTCCAAAGGTGAAAGGCTAATATGCCTGCCTCCCTCTCTGCCACTGAGCCCCTTCTGCTTTGTTGAGGCGATGTGCTAACTTGGGGAAATCACTCCTGCGACCCATAAATACTGAACTGAATGAGAGCCCCCCGCTCTGTGCGCAGGGATAATGCGCCGGCTGCAGGGGTGTTTGCTCTGTGACGTTCAGCAAACAGGCTGCAAAGAAAGCTCAGCAAGATCCTGGACAAAAGGAGAGGACAATCAGCTCGCTGGGTTCAATTATGGTCTGGAATTTAATCCCAGTAGGTTTGGTAGGACTTCCCCCCAGGCAAAATCCATCTCACCAGTCGGTTTCTCTGAGGTCTTGGGACAGCATGCGGAGGTATTAGGCTCATAAAGGGTTTCTTATTCACAGAAAGCCCTGTAGATACCACAGGAGCTTGTACAGATTACTTCTGTGTGAGGCCATAATGCTGGAAGTGAAAGGGGCTGGGATGCTCTTGCATCCCTGGGAAATCCAAGCTGCAAAGAAGAGAGGGGTGGTTAAAGCCCATAAATAGTTCTCAGCTAATGAAATTGCTGGGTGGGGAAAAGGGCAAAATAGCTCCTTTTTAAAGCAGATGAGGCAAACATGCCTCCCAACATATTTTGTGCTCATAAAACTCAGTCTCGGTTTCTAGGTAACTAAAGGAGATACCCCAGAGAGAAGCTTCTAAGGTTTTCCCACAGCTGCTGGATTTGAATAACCAAATGGAAGAGCTGGATATCAACTTTATCTGGTGCAGAGCGTGGCTAACCCCATCCGACCTCTTTTGAGGCTCGCTTGTGTACAAAGCAAACCTGAAAGTCTGGGGGCCCTTTACATTGGGAGATCCACTGTCGGGATCCAACATGCACCAAGCTCAAGACTAAAAGACTTATTATATGATCTAGTCTGACCTCCTGGCTAGCTCTATTCTCTATGTCTGAGTGTTGTCCTGGGCTCTTGGGGCTTCCCGTCCTCTTGCAGGGCCATCCCCCTTGGATGACGTTCACCTGCAGGATGGGGATTCAGAGCCTTTGTAAGGCACCAATCCTGTGCTGTTTATTTAGTTAGTTTTATCAACATTTTTATTCCTAAGCAGTAGTTACTTCCTGGAGCTCAAATTTTCTGCTGGTGTCAGGCTCCTCTTCAGTTCTGCCTGTAGTCTTGCTGTGCTTTGCAATACAGTAGTGGGACAAGTTAGTTACCAAAGGCACAGAGGTTGATGTTGGGGTGGATATTTTTCCTTACTGGACTTGCTTTGCTCACAGGACCAGGCTGTGCATGCAAACAGTGGGGGGAAAAGGGCTCTTTCTTCCTTCCATTGTGAGGGATGGAGCTGGAGTGACCAGTGGTCCTGCTAAAATTAGTTTGGATATTTCTCCCTGGCTCTTTCAGATAGGTTTATCCTAATTAGCATTGCATTGGAAATAAGCGTTCTGATCCCAGCTAAGTCTTGATGTGAGCAGAGGCATTACAGTGAACTCAAACTGAATGAACATTTGGTTTACATGGGGCTTTTTTTTCTTACTGGCTTCCCATCTTTATGGGGATTCAGACCAGTTAATCCACTGTGTGAATGATTATCTGATACAGTGCTGCAGTCCAAAGCAGTATAGAGTACTTGCCAGTCACAAACTGAATCTTGAGTCCAGGAAATCTTTGAATAGCAAAGTGAGGAATCGAGGTGGATTACATGCATTCGTTCTGTTCTGTGTACAAGAACAAATTCAGTCTAGGTAAGAAACTTTACATGTTAGTCACTGCTGTTAAAAAAAAGCAGCTATAGAGAAAGTCAACAGCTGAGCATCCCTGCTCAGGATGGGGAAGGTGCAGGCGGTTCTCTTGCTTGCAGCTAGTGCTGCAGTGAGCAGGCAGGGATCATGTAACATTGTGATTTGATTTAATATTACTCATACACCCATGTAAACTGGTTTTCACACACATGAAGGTGCAGGGCAGTGCCTGTATCCTTTGCCTCATGCAGAGGAAGATAAGCTCCTGATGTGTGGAAAGGATAAGTTCAGAGGGAGGAAATGGCATGTCCCTGCTTCCAGAGAGCCAAGCCTGAACAAGCAGGACAGATGGATGTGGCTGCAATGAAATAGGGAGATAAGTGCATTAAAAGGGGGTGTCTTTCTGCAGATGCAGGGGTCAGGTGTGACTGAAAAGGCTGTGAAATTCTCAGCATCTCCAGCTTAATTAACACGGGCTGCCAGTCTCTGCAAACACAAGAGCAGCTTGTATTTGTAGAGTAGAAGGAGCTGTAAATGAAACACAGCAAATTGTGGCTGACAAGTGGAAAGAAGACATTGTCTGATTAATCCAAGTCCGGAAAAGATTGTCTGGCAAGCTAGTTTCAGACTAACCTTGTCAAGCCTGGGACTAGCCAGTCCCTGCTGCTGCCAGAGATGCTGGGCAATCCCACCAGTTGCTCTTGGCTTTGCAATGTGCCATTTGCTGTGGCTGTTATCCTGGGTCTTGCTCACAGTTGTTTTATCCTAATGGCCAAGTTCTGCTTCCTGATGAGGCTGTTCTTGTCCCTGCTCCCAGCCAGCCTGCCCTGCCATGCCAGGCTATCATTCACTGTTCAGGGTCTGCCTGTCTGTGTCCCCCAAAAAGCCAGTGGGTTTGCAGGATGGTCCAGTATGACTGAGCATTTCTCTGGCCTCACTCTTGCTTTGGTACACCTGCCCTGCCTCTAGTTTCTTGCCTCTTGACATGCCTGAGCATCCCTTTAGCACAGGAATGGTTTAGCATAATCCTAGGTTTCTCTGTTTCCTGCTATCTGCGCCAAACCCAGTTCTAGTTGGGCTGTAAGCACTTAGGCTATATGCATCATTTTCTTGCTCAAATGACAGTTTGAAGCCCACAGGAACTGCTAATGTCTGTTCAGGTATTTAGCAGAGGCTGACTTGTGTTCTGTACATCCCTCCCGCCCTGAAGCCATTGTTTAATCTTCAGGTCTATTTTATTCCCCTCCACTAGACACTCTTTGGGAGGACAGATATAAATTAAAAGCAAATTATGCAGCCTGATATCCTCAGTCAACAGACACCTGTCTCTGCCCACATACCCCAGCTAAATGAAACCACCATTGGATCTAACTACAGAGAATGGAAGAGCTGAGAGGGAGGTTTGAAGGTCAAAACACTCAGGCACTGTATCCATCATGCATTTGGGCAGATTTTTAACAGTGCTACATCAAGCAACTGCATCCATTCCTCCCTTATTGCAGGAAGGGGGAGCACAATGCCACTTCTGTTTGCATTGACTCCAGGTATGTAACCCTCCTGCTCTCCAGGAGCTCAGTTGGGAACAAGTTGGCTGCATCTCATTTCCAACCACCTTTTGATTTGGTGTCTCTGCATCCATCCAACACTCTGCGCTCCAGCCACCTCCTCATCCACCTCCCAGCTGCTGTTCACCATCCCCTGTGTAAATATGGCTCCACGTTGAGTCCGTGCTTGCAAAGCTTGACAAGACTCCAGGCATTGAAACCCAAGTGCCTGAGGCTGTGCTGCAACCTGCTGGGTGCTGTTTATTACCCCTAAAGCACTCTCATTGCAGGAGCTGATGAGGCAGCACCAACGAGGGGCTTGGCTGCAGGCTCCTGTTCCATTGGAGGTGGCTGAGTGCAGTGGTTATTCTCTCCCACTTTCTTCCACACAAGGATTCTGTGTCTCAGCATGAGATGCAGGTCTGGCTGCTCCATGTGAGCTCTCAAAGCATGCGTAAGAGCCCATGTCCTCCCTTCTTTCTGCCCACCTTTTCCTTGCAGATGATGTGTTAGCTGTACCCTGGCCCGAGGGATGCTCCAGCTGGTGTCTGTAAGAGATCCCCAACTTGCGCTTCTGTTCTGTTCTCCATGGACCTGAAGAGTTAAATTTTCCTCTGAAAAGCCCACTATAACTCTGGAGAAGGCTGAGGCCAGCCTGTCCTGAAGCTGAATGTGCTCTCATGGTGGAAGGTAAGGCATAATATTAGGCAACTGGGCTAGGTGGTGGAAGATGAGTGAGCTCAGGGGTTCAGCTTGAGGGTCCTATGGAACAGAGGCCTTGAACCGGGTGTCCTTGGGGCTGGAGCTTTGCAGTATGTCCCATTGCTGGATGTGGTGTTGCCTCCCTCAAGTTTGCTTCTCTGGCTGTGCAATAGGAGCAGGATGGTATTTCTTCTGCTCAGTTGAGAGCATCCAAGCTGCTTTCTCCTTCATGTGGCTGAAGAGTGCTGATGGTTGCAGTGAGTGGGAAGTGCTTTTATTTAAATCACCAGAATCTCTGCTCTCGATGACATCTGGATAGCACTGCAGGAACTGTCCATGAAGCTTTGAGGCACCCTCTGTCCAGAGCTCAAACCAAGCTGTTGCATTTCAGGTTTGCTGGAAAACACCAGTGACAAGTTCAGCCACAAATAAGGTTTGAAGGATATTGCTGCATTTCCCAAGAGCTCCCAGCTTTT